ATCGTTACTTTAATAAGACTTTAATATGATGAGATGATCTTCAAAATCAACCAATCATAATAAAGCCCGCTATGCTACGTGACTAGGGTTCCAACCTCTTATTCGGTTAACCGTTCAATCGATTACCCGATCCGAAAACATCGTCAGCCGGCTGATCTTTTTGTCAAACCGGTTTGTTATAATATTCGGTCGACCCGGATATCTGGTTAATAAATGGTTCTACTATAAGTTTGTTCTTGTCAAAATTAAATAGATAGTTAATAACAAAGTTTGTCCGAATCTAACACAGAGCAAGTTTGCACAAAACGTTATCTTCATTCCATGATACTATCTGATATTGTTCAATAAATGGTAGATAGATTTTATCTTCTAAGCAAGGTTCTTCAAAAGGTTGACCTTTTTTTGACACTATGTTGAAGTTATAGACGGCGCATACGTTATCGTACAGAGTAAAACGTACATACAATATTGGATAGTAACCGGTTTTAATTTTCGGGTAACCGGTTGGTAACCACGACAGTTGACGGTTTTAAATTTTCTAACGATAATTATTGAGGTTATGATAAAATCTTGTGTAATTTAATTAGAATTTTTAACAATTTCAATAACTCATACAATTTTCTATTTAAATTTTTGATGTCTGATGAAACTATTTTTCAATAACCGCGCATTTCATTAGGTCCGTCAGTTTTATCAGGCATCAATATGATTTTTACGAAAAACATCGCACGCAAATGACATAAAACATCTGGTTAATAGAGCCAGATATCAACCTTTATTAAATTATCTTTGATTGAAAATATCACCATTAATATTCAAAAAAAAAAAAAATATAAATACCTAAGGCGCTATTAATATACAAACTGAGACTGGACATGCTTCCGGAAATAGTAACAATTGCGCCAAGTATTACGTTATCAGCTGATCGTGATGTGTAATGTTATCCGGTGGCCTCCCACACTACGTTAAGCTGGCTTACATGATATGAAGTTCTAAGGCACCACAAAATGGCTTAGGATGAGTGGGTTTAATTACGACTCTCGCTTTTTGCCTTTGGTAGGATGCTATATATAAGTCTGTGGCGACTAATCTTTATATTCAAACGGACAATGAAGTTATTATTAGTAAATATCTAATAATTCTAAAATTATCTAAATGCATATGCTTTCTCATGTGACGCTACTTTATCTGCCTGCACGAGTTGGTCAAATTGGTCATTACAGCATTAATACTAGTTTGAATCTGTGGTCTGCCTGCATGACCTAGTAGGGCTACTTAAAAAAAAAACATTCAAATTATTATTACATTTCATCGATAGATAAATTAAGTAGACCTCTAAAATAATCGATTTTTTCCCTATTTACTTTTAATTTCAAACTTCAGGTATTAACAAATATGGTAAATGCACAAGAATATGTTGAAAAGAATTTTGATAAAAATGCTAGCCAAATTATTGCTATTGACAAGAACCTGGAAGGTGACTTAGACTTGTCAAAATATCCCAATCTAACTCTTGTAGATATTGGACATAATCCCTTATTGCAAAGTTTAAAATTAGCACCCTTAACTAAAATTTCGGATATGAGTACTTATGGAACTGGGATTACTAATTTTTCTTTTTATGGCAGCACTCCTGACATACATCGTTGTTGCTTAAATTCTATTGGGAAAACTGATAAAAACAATCCATTATTTGCCCAAGTAATTCGAGATACTTGTCGGGCTGGATTAAAAGAAAATTCCGAACTTCAAGAACTTGCACAACTAATTCTTTCTAACCAACCTTACGACTTTTTCAAACTCAAACAAGAAATCATCAAACTCAAACCACAAGAACTCCCTAACATGAGCAAAAAGTTATCAGAACAGAAGAAAGAAGAAATTGCTGAACATTTCATTCAGGAAATAACTTACACATTTGGAACAACAAGAAATGACCAAGTAAAAGAAGCTGCAAAAGCATACATTAATAAACTTGACAATTTTGAAGGAATTGAAACCCAATCCGCAAATCTCTTTGATGACACGATAAAAAATGCATTTCAAACAGTCACAACAAATGTTTATAGTAAGGGACAGGAATACTGGGTTGAATTCTGGGGACATTACCTTTGCAGAAGAGTATATCAGGAAAAGCTTGCTCTGAAAAAGGAAAATCAAGATAAAATTACTCAACTCCAAACACAAATTCAACAACTCCAACAACAAATTCAACAACTTCAAATGTAAATCGCTATTTACATATATTATCTGGAAATTTAAAGGATCAACTTGTAGTATATGAAGAAATCATTATCTTCTAAATATTTATATTTTTTATTTTTATAAAACCTTTTTTTCATTTACGTACTTTGTTTTTTTATATCTATAGTAGGTTATTCTTATCAAACATTAAGTTACAATTAATGTTAATAAAATACTGTTATAAAATAGTAAATATCCATTAACTTGATTACTTGATTAGCTTATTTTAAATACTTTGATTAATAACAAATGTTTTTTATACGGTATTTGCCAACTAAATTAATATGAATGAAATGAAATTAAATAGTAAGCATTCGTGAACTAAACAGCTTATTTTCAATGCTTCTATTAATAAATGTTTTTTATACTCACGTACTAAATTAACGTAAATAAAATATGAACTTGAAGAGATTAATTTTCCTTACTTTTATCAAGAAATATTTATTTATGCTTACAAAATAAATTAACGCAAATAAATGAAATTAAATTATGAAAACCTTTTTAAATACTTGGACTTATAAATGTTCTTTATACACACGCTAAATTGACGCGAATGAACTGAAATTAAATATAAATATTTATGAACTTAAATGACTTATTTAGATTAAAGCATTCTTTATACTTACAATCTGAATTAACAAAATTGAATAGTAAATATTCTTGGACTTACATAGCTTATTTAAATACTTGGATCAATAAATATTTCATATTCACAAACTAAATAAACGCAGAAATACTGAAATTAGATAGTAAATCTTCATTTCTTATATTAACAAGTGTTCTTTACACTTACGGACTAGATTAATCGAGTAAAATGAATTTTTTATCTAATTATTTAAATAAAAATTATTATGAGCTATTGCAACCAAAAAATAAGATTTGTATTTAATATGTTAGATCATTATATTTCTTTAATAAAAATTAACCAGGTTAAGAGTTTCAATCTTAAAATGTAAAATTTAAATATTTTCTAATTAATCCAATAATCGTATTTAGCATGAAACTCTTCTACGTCAATTCTGTGGTAGCAACAGATACAGTTTTAAAAATATTCCGTAGATTTACCTGCTTTATTTTATTTCAGACAATTCATAAATACCTTGTGCTTATCTATTTTAATCTCAATTCCTAAATAATAACAAATAGCCAACTTGATACATTCTGTTAGAATTATTCATCTCTACAACATTTTGATAATAAATAAATGTTTAATTCTTATCCTTTCAAATCCAATCCCATATTTGTAACAATAACAATCCGGAATATTCTATCCGCATTATTCGTATCGGCTGATTTTTGATAATTAATAAAATTAAGTTGATTAAAAGCATCGGCAACTTGAGTAATTTCATCAATGAGCTATTTCTTTTTTACTTGAAATTATAAACAATCAGTAATATATTACATGAGAATAAATAATTTTATCTAAATGTTGAACGTAATACTTTTAATAAATAAAATATCCTAAGTTAATGTTGAGTGTTTCGTAGCATATACAGATTGAAATTAATATTATTAATATGAAAGCCTATCAATTCCTGGGGAAGAGCCACTACTTAAAATTGTTTGAAGTCGTACTGGATCAAAATTTAGTCCTAAGAATTAACAAGTACATCAGAGTTTATTTTAAAAAAAAACAAGATAATAAAAACATACAAAAATCTTTTTAATTGAATTTTATATAAATTTATTGAATTTATATATTTATAAAAACTTTTTTACTGAATTATTTTTATTTAAAGAAAATTTTTTAAGAATTGGCTATTTTTATTTTTACTTTTCAAAAACTTTGGTATATTTTTTATACTTCTATTTACATTCCGAATATATATATCATACTGCTATGGTTATAAAATTACCCTGTTTGGTTGATCAATTCTGTTAAATTTTTTAGGACAGTCTCTCTTTAACTAGTGGTTTTTATTAGTAATAATCTGGGAATGAGTTTGTAAGCAATTAATAGTCATAAAAAAAGCATATATATACCACGTACTGTATGAATTAGATCTTATAGATTTTATAGTTTTTATTGTCTTTTTTCAGGAAATTAACAATTAAAATTTCTTGCGATCCTAGGAAATGGACATTAGCAGACTTTGGTTATGCAAAAAAATATTTAACATTAGATTGAGTAATGAAAAAGAATTTAAGTTGATAAGGAATAGTAAAAGGTCTTCGAATAGTATGGCACAAATTGTATTTGTAGCGAAAAATCCCAAGTTTTGACAATTCCTTAAATTAAGAGAGAATATTCGACAAATTTATGCATCTAACCAGATTTTCTACATAATTTTAAAAATCTATATAATTCGAAATTACTCTTGAATATCGCAAATGGTCCGATTATTCTTGAGATAATTCAATTGAAAATTTTAAAATCTTAACGGCATTACTTTTTAATGTTAACGAAAATATCTTTGGAATAACCAAACTATTCGCGAAATTTCAAAAATGCTATTGATTTCTAGAATTTGAATATTTTAATAATTTTCGTGATAACTTTTTTTTTTAATTTTTTTGATGAAAAATTCACACAATTATTA